TCAACACTACCTAGGACATTGAGACGGTCTGAGCGTATGTTTGTTATTTTATTTTTGCCTTGTCTCATGCTGGAGTATGGAAGACATTCACCACCTTGCCTGCAATTTACTCTTTTAACATTAGGTATCCTCCTTTCTGTAATTTTGGCATGGTACGAAGGCCAAGTAAAAGGCAGAAACAGAAATGTCTGGTGCATTGCTGGCCTATTGGACACAGCACCCTTCGTTTGAGGGATATCTTTGCACAGGACGAACAGGCTTGGGTTTGAATGAGTCTATCATGGATGGAACACCAGAGAAGTGTCAAAAGTGTCACAAATACGCGCTTCCACTTGGAAGTGGCCAAACATGAACGAGTATGCAACAACTGTGAATAGTCATGGCCCAAACCCTTAAAGAGACAAAAGCACTCCCGGGTCGAAGTCGGGAAGCACCACGGATTGGCGACATTCGCACCTAGTAAAGAAATCGTACGCGTGCATATTCAACTCGAAGTAGACAGGTCGTGCTTGACGTTTGCGCGAGCGATTTCTTCAGCCACGAGAAGGGAGCAACGGCTCGGTGACGTCTTCGTGCAAATCGGCTTGGTGGTCGGGCGTGTCGTACGGGATGAATACCAATTCTTTTGATCAGTCCCACATTTCTCTTTTAAAGGTAGAAAGAATTCGCCGGTACCGCGAACGACAGTTCTGAAATAGAGGTCCCACGCCCGCCGTCTGCTGACATCGCCGTCCCCGCGAGTCCCACGATACGCGAACGACGAACGCACAGAATGCTTCCGGTTGTCTGTGGAACTTTTTTTTTTTCAATCAACGTATTTACAGCTTTTTAGAAGCCACAAAAAATGGATTTCATATTTTTTTCTATTTTTAATATTGAGTGTGTGCCTTCAGTGACCCACGACTTTGATTAAATTTGGTGGTTGCATCGATACCTTAGAAAACGGCCCGTGACCGCGAAAAAGAGAGTGAGCGAGACTCGAACCGGCCAGTTCTTGATCGGCGGTTTTCGGGCAGAAAGAAACCGAATTTCGAGCCGCAAATTTTGTTCTGGGTAGTTGAGCTTTCATATGTCACGTACAAATAAAAACCTCGGCGAGCATAAATACCCTGTCAGTGTCCCTTTAAGCTCGGAAAAGGAAAGGTAGTCATAGCATTTAATGAAAGACGTCTCCAGGCTTCTTTTGACCTGCATGTAACCCAATACAGACGATCAGGGATCCTGGGTTCAATCCCCAACCCTGTTTCAATCTAAATGAGCATTGTACCGGCATGTGGCCATGTATCACTACTGCATGGTACATGTTAAAGACCCCAGGCTAGCGGTTGGACCGCACAGGCTAAATTGCTCATCTACAGCTGAGATACCAGACGCCCATTGGGACTAACTAACTTCTGGCTGTATAAACATGCTACACAAAACACAATTCCAATTACATTGAGGATATATTCTACCTCACAGAGTTGTCTTCATTGCAAACAAAGGCAAGGTCAAGAAAGTGTGGCTCTGCAGATTCTGTTGCTTGCACAACCACTCACACAGGGAAGGTTCTTTGGAAGAGATGTGCGGTTCCACTCATACATTTGCTAGCACTAAAGACAATTTGTGTCAGTGAGTATAAGAAGTCCGATCAGTTGCCCATTACTTGATTATTATCTGGCTGATTATTTTTTTTGGGTTTAACCATTTGTTTTTCTTCTGCTGTTGATATTGTTGATGGTGCAATGTTTTATGGTTTATTCGCGTCTCCAGCTCGACGCTCGCCCTCCCGCGGCGGAAACGGGAAGCGCTCTAGTGAGGGTCCCCCGATTCTCCTGCTCAGCGGGCATGGCGGGACTGCTCGCGATCATGGCTCGTGAAATGTCATTTCCGAATGCAAACAACACTCTTCACTGTCCCAACGTTGTGCTGCAGCCAGTAGGGGGGGGGGGGGGGGGGGGGGGGTGTACCTTATTAGAGAGTTTTATTATTGCGCATAGAAGCAAACGCAAGCGATGTGCGTTTACGGTAGAGTTGCGTGCCCCACGTTGTGTGCGTGCGCCTCATTGCCATGCGCCATTCAAGACCTCAATTTCGTGCTCCGCGCATGCGCAGTGTGGAACACGCAAAGCTAACACAAACACACAGCGCTTGCGTTCGCTCGTGTACGCAATACTAAAACTCACTACTATTACACCGGCTTCCAACGCCAACGAAACGTGCTGCAGTGAGCAGACGTGCAAAAAGGTAGGCGTTCCTTCGAACTGGAAAAGCTGAGATTGGCAAAACGACGGAGCGTAAAAATGAAAGTAACTAAATGTTATAAAAAAATTATTAACTAATTTTTTTTTTTTTTTTTTTTTACTTTTGGGCATTTTGTTATGAAAGATTTAGCGACGATTGGACGTTTTGCCCATTGTCAAAAGTCGCGACTTTAATAGCAAAATATACTTTAACCACAATAATGTAATTTTATGTGGATTTCTCACATTCGCTAGAAAGTTTTCATTGATTTTAGACCTTTTATTTTATTACTTGGTAGTTCAAAATGCTGCAATTGGCACCAGTGATGATAATTAGCACACTTATGATTGTCATCTTTGTTCGCGCATTTGAAATTAAATCATAAGCAACAAATTATATTAGAGCTTGAAAAATTATGTATCTGAATTTTAATATTGTTTTTATTAATTCAAATCGCGGCAATGTATGCCCCCAATTAACGCCAACATCACGAAAATACGCCATTTAACCATAATAGTATTTCCAGAAAAGCTATAATTTTGTTTTCTTTTTAGCATATGAAAAACTCTGACATCGTTATTAAGATAGAAAAACAGTCAAGCACTGGATGTAATATACAGACCTATGCGTCACGCGTTGCCTATAAAACACACACACACACACACTTCAGCTGTCTGACTCGGATTCCGTCTTTGGGTTGTTGCAGTAAGAACAGCCTTTATAAATTTTTTGGTTTTGTGGACATATTGTAAAATTTGGAATTATTCTCTTATTCTTGTGCTGGGAATAATGTTAAACCAATTAATCATCTGAATATTCAAAAACCCGTCACAAGGCCCGCAGTTCATTATTTCCCATAACAATTATCTGAGCGAGAAAAGGCAGCGAGAACACACAAATATCAGCACTGATTTTTTCAACAACTACAACTAAAAATATCAGCCTGGATCGAACATGTATGTCACAAAATAAAGTTTCTGCAAACAACTTCTCTAACTAAATAATTATGATGTAAAACACATCTTGAGGTATGAAAGAATCCGAAATTAAGACCTATATCGAGAAATTAAAGGTTAGTTCCGGTTTCGCTCCAGAATTAAAATGTGCCTCCGGGCGTTAATATTACACTAAACACCGCTTTTGTTTTCAGGATGAAGAGGTATCCTGCGCTCATAACACCCTAGCTCCCTCGTATTACCAGAAATAATCTGTGTCGCTCAGTGAAGCCAGAACACTAGACAGGCTCAACAGCGGCATGCATCTCCGACCCTCACTATAACCGCCATTTTGGAAAATAAGTGGCGCCACCTATAGTTAGTTGGAGTTGCGAATAGGATCTGGTTCCTCCTTTCCAAGTATGTGCAGTTCTGGATGTGCCTAGGCTATATGGCTCGACACTGGGGATGGGTGGTCGGGTGTGTTAAAACACACCGCAGCTAGGAAGGAGTGTGCGAGCGTGGTTGCGGAGTAAAAACTCGCACTGCAAAACCCAGTGATCCTGTGTTCAATGCCCACATTGCTCATTTTCATCTGGATAAGCATTGTACCGGTGTGCTGTCGAATATCCAAACCAAACCAAATCTGACGTTCGAGTTTATACAGCGTAAGGTCGGTCTGCCCTTTAGTTAAGCGGGGGACCACTGGTTTACTCTGTAGATGAGAAATTTAACCAGTTCAGTACAATCGCCTGCCTGGGGTTTCTGATGTGCATCACGCAGTAGCGACACATAACCACATGCCGGTGCAATGCCCCATCCTGATCGAAATGGGCAGGGATCGGGAATGAACCCAGGATCCCTGGGCTCATTCCCGACCCTTTCGGGAACTTTCGCTCCACGTGCTCTGAGCTGGTGTGCACTAGCCCACTCTGCCACCGATTACCCCTGTCGTCTACCACTACCATGCGGTGCACGTTAAAGACCCCAGGCTAGCGGCAGTACTGCACTAACTAAATTTGCCATCTACATCAGACACCGATGCACGTTGGGGCTGACTAACTTACTGCTGCCTGAATGTACACACAATTCAATTTACCAGCCACTTTACTCATAGCTGTGGGAGTGTCTACATTGTGTCCCGATGCAACCAATGTCAAGTCTAGTTTGAAATTCTACCGCACTTGCTGTTGCATCACCCTGTTTCTGTCTACTCTGCTATCCTTCTCCCAGCCCAGTCTCAAGGCAAACGGCCCTCTGTCTTTCGCCAGCTCGCCTTAGTTTTGGCGTTGCGTTAATACCAGTGTGTTTTGTTCTCTTAATTTTTCTTTGTGCGAGTGTGCGCGTGGTTGCGTCCGAGATAGGGGAAAGAAATGGGAAGGCCAATCGCAGCGACACTCGTGTGCCAAATTCACACGTGAACTTCAACCAGCTCGCCCGCGTCCTCGCTTTTGCATCACCGGTGTCGCCGCCCAGTGTTGACGACGCAAGACCCCGTGTTCGCGCCTCACCAAAGCGACGGGGGGGCAACGCCCTACTGGCCCTACTCCGAACGCGCTGGCTGGCCTCTCGCGTTTGGCACGCGCAAACAGAGAATTCGACTCACGAGAAGTGCTCGTCGCTGCTCGTCACAGCCAACCGAAACGGAAGGCTGCGCGCGCGCGCGCAGGGCCAATCGCTTAAAAGCCAAAGAGCGACAACGGTTTCGCGCCCTGACGCGAGTACGAGCTCGTGCACGCGCGCTGGTGCACGAGCGAGGTTACTGCGACCGCGTCGAAATGGCGAGCTCGAGGCCGCGGCAAGGCCGGCGGGGAAGAAACGAGCCAGGGAGGCAGGGCTCACTTTTGTGTCGCAGCCTGCCCAGCAGGTTCATGGGGGCCGACCAGACGGACTTCCAAAGGGACGTCATCGTGCGCGGTGCCGTGGCTGCGTCGGCCCTCTGGACAGCTGGTGCAAGGCGCCGCACAGCCTTCGCATGGGCTTCCGGCAGGAAATCGTCAAACGCACGGGCGACAAGGAACGCACAAGAAACAATAAACCGCCTCAGCACGCCGAGACATTAGGTGCATTCCAGCGATGCATTCCAGAAGCGAGACTCGGCACAGGCAAACACAGTTCCGCAGTCGGCGGTCGTAAAGTAACTGGAACGAAAATTCAATTTTAGAGGGAAATAGCGAAATGAACGAAATAACGAGCCGCTCCAAGAAAATCTCAAACTGGCTCGATAGTTACTTGTCGCAAGTTCGATGTCAGATCAATCGCTTTTGAGTCTTGAAGCGTTACATTGTGTTTAAATATATGTCGGTAAAAAAAGGTAAAAAAGAAAAATTGACATAACATATTTTTTTATTTTTAAATATATAATTTTTAACGTGGATTTACCATAGGTTGAGCACGTTGTTTTCGCGTAGAATGCCTTGTCTACCATAAGTAGTCTGCCCAATCCAATCCAAAGTCGGCAGAAGTTTTGAGAAGTTTGAGCAGTTCGAGGGTCAAGATTTCTCTAGTTTCTGCTGCTTCAAGATTATCGAAGATATTTCGTGTCTCAAGCATTTAAAATTCTCGATTGCGACTCCTCATACCGTGATCAGTTCTCTTTTTAGGCCGTATCCCGCCTCGATTTTCCGACTGAGTCCGGACAAGCATATATCGGTAAGCGTTCCGTCTTTACTTCTCTGGGGAGAAGAGGCGTGACCGGCGAGCTTGGGTCAAAATGGTTACATGTGCTATATATAGTTGCAGTGGCGTAGTCAGGGGAAAGACTTATGGGGCTTTATTCCCCCCCCCCCCCCTTTATTGAAATCCAGCCGACCTTTACGATATACCATAATATACACATGCATTTTGACACCTCTAAGCATTTCAAGCCATAGATATCGCAGCCACCCCAGCCCCCTCCCCTCCCCCCAACCCCCCCCCCCCCCCCCCCCCCCCCAAAGAAAAAAAAAAGAAAAGAAAAAAAAAAAAATCTGGATACATGTTGCTCTTTTCGGCAAGAAGCCGAGGAGAGCAACTTTACCTGCCGGATTTGCGAGAAAGTATAACTTGGTTTTAGGAGAATAGAAGGGGATGGGCGGATACGGTCAGGAGTTGAAGCGGGAGATACGGGTAGAGCGGGAGAAGCGGGTTCAGCTCGAGGCGCAGGTCGTAGATTTGATTAAGAGGGCCGAAGCGGATGTGGAGGAGGCAGGGCACGGAAAACTAAGGTAGAGAGTGTGACGGGAGAGCTGAGGCAAGAACCGGAACAGCGAGCCGAACTTGAGCGACAGGTGGAGGAGCTTAGACAGGGGGAAGAGTGGAAGGCGGAGTTGGAGGAGCATCAGAAGAAGTGTGAGGAGGTGGTGCAGCAACTGCCAGGAGTAGTTAATAAGAAAAGGGGGAGGTGGCAGAGAAGACGGTGGTGGGGGCGGCAGACAAAGGGGGCGAGTTAAATAGTGATGAGGTAGTTGACTGTGCAGGAAAGGAGTCTCCACAGCTGTATAGTGCTGCAGTACAGCAGGGCTCGAGAAAGGCAGCAGAAGTTGAGGCAGAGAAAGCACAGATAGCTGGGTGACGACAGGCAGTCAGGGGTTAAGAGGGTGCTGGTGGTAGGAGACTGAAACATAACAAGGGTTAAGGAGGGGCTCCTGGACAGGTTGCAAGGGGATGGGAGGGTAAACGTAGTGGCCCAGTCAGGAAAGTGCATGGTAGATGCTATGGCCAAAGCGAGGGAGGAAGTCTGGGTAAACAGGGAGGGAGAGAACGTAGTGGTAGTTCACGCAGGACTAAATGATGTGTTAAAGGGACGGAGCCAAAACCTCGCCAGGCAGAGAGATTTGGGGTTACGTAAGCTGAGGGAGGTCTCTGAGACTGTGCATGTGCAAATATGCAGCGTCCCAGAGGTCTGGGGACAGTCTTTGCAGATCGAGAAGCGGGTGGTGGAAGCTAACCGGGTGATAAGGGGGTTGAGCCGACGATTTGAGTACCGAGTAATGGAAGTAAACAGGGTGGTGTACAAGGCTCGCTCTGACCCTTTTACATGGGGCATCCGCTACAGTGGAGCCACTGGAAGCACGGCAGGCGATAGGATTAGACGTCACATCTTACATTTTTTGGGGGGTCCCGGAGCCTTGAGGGCGCCGGTGTAAATGAGGGCCAAAATGTACATTCAGGGGGGAGCGTTTGGGAGGGTGAGAGGAAGCCTCGCAGGACTAGGAAAAAGAAACAGCTTAACATAGGGTTCATAAACATGCAGGGGGGCAGGAACAGAATAAAGTGGGAGGAGATTGAGGAGCAATTTCAAAGTGAAAAATTTGCAGTGTATGGATTAGCAGAAACACATCTGAGGGATATGGAAGAACCACCATACATACCGGGTTATCATTGGATGGGATGCAACCGGGCCAATGGGGAACGCAAGGGAGGGGGATTAGGGGTGTTAGTGAAGGATCGGGAAAGGGAACGAGAGGGCTGCAGGGAACACATGTGGGTCAAAGGCTTGTGGTTTAGACACAATCCTGGGTTTTGTGTATCTAAAAACAGGGATGCAGGGGAGGAAAATGCAGAACACTTGACATGTATACACGGGTTAAGTTAGGGAAATTGGCACTAACAAGGAAATAATTATCTTGGGGGACATGAATGCACATTTGGAAGACTTTGATAGACATACGGATACAACAAGGAGGATGTTAGAGGAGTTCTGCGAAGCTCTTGATCTGGTATTGGTTAACGCTCAGGTGAAATGTGATGGAAAAATAACATGGGAAAGAAAGAACTCACACTCGACTATTGACTACTGTTTAATGTTGCGTAAGATATACAACAGATTAGAAGGTATGAAAATAGGTGAGGAAGGCACAAAAAGTCTGGGGAGCGACCATAAGAGAACCAAGATCAGATTTGGCACAGTAAAACCAGAAATGCAAAATCGAAAACAAGAAAACAATTACAGGAGGTATCTAAGCGAATTGAGAACACACCGTAAAATACCGAGCACCCGCACAATCCCTACTAAATGAGGGTGGCGATGTGGGTTAGTTGGTTCATACTGACGAAAAGGCAAACAGCGCACAGTAAACTGGGACTAAAGGAAGTGCAAACAGGACAAGCGCTGACTCTCAACTGAAATTTAATCACATGAAAACAAAACAAAGAAAACAGCAACTCCGCCCACGTCACATGATACATTCACCACGTGTCCAAAAAAACAATCTCTTTGCTACTCAGGCCCAGTGACGTTTGGCTTACGGAGTTCGCGCCTGCTTTGATAATTGCATGCGCCTCTAGAATGTCTCTATTCACTCTGTCCCTTCCATTGCCAATGATGCTAGTCTTATTGAAGATAGGTTCGCACCCACATCCATGACAATGCAATGGCAAATGCCCCCCTACAGCTCCCACCACTGATCGCAACGACAAGTCATTCTCCCGCAGTCTGTGATTAACACATCTGCCCGACTGATCTATGCACTGAATCACTCAGTGCATAGAGCCTCTTCCAATTTTATGCAATCTCTATGGTCCATAGATCTTTAACTGTTACAGAAACACAACCTGTCCTTCCTCTTAAAACAAAAATAGTATGGCTCAAACTCGAGGCTTTTGTCGTGACCCGAAAGTACAATGACGTGTCGTCCTGAACCTTGACGAGATAAGCGGAAAGACCCCTTTTATGAATGATCCGAGATTTGAAAGGTAACTGTGGTTGGGGCATTTTTCCGGGACCATTGACCCTGTGCGCTGATCAAACTTAAGTGGAAATTGCCGTCTTTATGTGTACCCCCGTTTCACCTTAAACGTCCGAGCGGATGTTACGAGCCATATCGGAGCCAATCCAAGGCCGTGTGGGTGTCACGTGACCTTGGAGAGGGGACACAGCGACGCGCGGAAAGCGTATCGCGGACTACGTCCACAGAGCAGGATTGGCTGGGATAGCTCGTAGCGTCCGCTGCTTCCGGACGTAAGGTAAAACGGAGCATAGTTTTTCTTTTGGCGGGGAGGGAGCATTGGCACATCAAAATTCGGAGTTTATCGGATAAATCCGAATTGACCAAGAAGAAGAAGAAAATAAATGGTGCTATGGAGAATTTGGCACCGAATTGACCAAAATGTTCCCGGCGGGTGTTTTTCAAAGTTTTTTTTTTTTTAAATTTATTTGAAAACACGGAGCCCTATAACATAACATACTTTTACTTTGTACCTTACCTAAAGTACCTTTCAGGTTACCCAACACTGCCGGTTGGTTAGCGAGCTCACCGGCGTTAGCGTGCAGGGGTCGAGATTGAGCCCAGAAACCCTGCATTCTGCAGCGCTAGCTTTCGCTATACCTGTTCCGAACTGTGGTGTGCCACCGACCCGATCCAGCGGTAACCGAACGCTTTCCGAATGGAATCTGACTTCGTGCCGTAGCATGTACGTGCTCCTGTTTTGGTATATGGCGTCCGCGCTGTGATTTTCCAGCACCAGAAGAGTTTACATTTCAGTGGCCTCAGACCTGGAGCACAGATGAAATTTGAGACATTTCTTTAATCGACCCAGGCGCATATATCTGCGTCTGTCGCCAGACAAATAGAATTTGACGAGATCGACCACGGTGCTTCAGTCGAAGTGGCTTGTGTTTAGAAATGGGGGAAACGTAGGGAAAGAGCGCGGATATGGGGCTCTACCGCCTGCTCTCCTGCCACAAGAAGAAACTTGATGCGCTATAGACCTTTGCAGAAATCGCCTCCTGCGCGCTGCCATCTTTGTCTGCTGGGCTGTGGAACGCCATCCAAGCATGCGCTGTTGATCTGCTGTGCGGTATATCGGACGCTGCGCATGCGTCCACAGCTCAGTGACTCAGCATATTTTGCCCAGTCGCTTCGTTCGAGACTGCCGCTGAAAAGGTCTATACAAGGACGCGAGAAGAGCAATCCTCGGCCTCCCGAACCTCTCGAACGTTGATGCTATAGACCTTTGTAAAAATCGCCTTTTGCGCGCTGCCATGTTTGTCTGCTGGGCTGTGGAACGCCTTCTGAGCATGCGCTTTCGCTCTGTTGTGCGGCATATCAGACGCTGCGCCCGCATCCACACCTCAGGGACTTGGCATTTTTCGACCGGGTGATAAGTGATGCAAAGGTTTCTATCCGCCGCTGCGTCCCCCTCACCGACTGGCGAATAGACAGGGAAAGACAGGAGACGACGCATCGCCTCCGTCTCCAACATACAGAGGAGGTCCCTCGCGATTCTCCTCGGGCACCGGTGGGTAAAAAATACCGAAGCCCTCGAACACCCGCTCCCGAACCCCGTCGCGCCATGGGACATGGTCGACCTGACGCGAGACGCGCGCCCCATAGGCCTCTTTCGCTGCCCAGAAAGCGCTGCGAAGCAACAAACAACAAAAATTCGAACTTTCATCTCCTC